AATTAAATGGCTGTGCCCCGTATAGCAGCTAGAAAGTGTGAGAGTGTCCCACAACTTAACGGGTGTATCTGTTGTTTCTCCCCCTTTTCTCCAGATTGTCCGAGCCCTGGAGCATCTCCACAGTAAACTGTCAGTGATTCACAGAGGTAAGGTTCAAATTGCAGATCCCATCAGGTTGACAGAGAAAGCAGCTGAGGGTGAATGACACAGGTGAGGCCCAGTTAAATTGCAGGCCGTCCTCCTTTAGGGACCGGAAGCGGGACTGGCAACTCTGCCACTAAGTGAAACAGTTTCCTAAGTGGGGGGATGACATCACGGCGACGGTGTTTTCCTTCCAGATGAGTACAGATGGTCCTCAACGTACAGCAGTTTGTGATCCCAAGGCCGTTTTTGTCTTCCCTGCTTACAGATGTGAAGCCATCCAACGTCTTGATCAACAAACAGGGACATGTGAAAATGTGTGATTTTGGAATCAGCGGGTACTTGGTCGATTCGGTGGCTAAAACGTTGGATGCTGGATGCAAACCTTACATGGCTGTGAGTGGGGTGGGGTGGGGGCCTCCATTGTGGGGACACACGCATGTGAGTTTGGGGGAGAACCTCCAGTCCGTTTCCCTCTTCCCTTTCCTCTGATTTTAATTTGCTTTTATTTTATTTTTCCCCGTGCAGCCAGAAAGAATTAATCCGGAGCTAAACCAGAAGGGGTATAATGTCAAATCAGACGTTTGGAGTCTTGGGATCACTTTGGTAAGGAATCAAGGCGACCTTGGGGACTGGCAAGGCAGAAAGCATAAGGACTAGTCGCATGCTGTGCTTTGGAGTTAGTAAGGCTTAGAGATCCGGCAGTGTCAGGAGAGTTTCCTCGGATTGGGTCTCCCTTGTGGGCTTCCCCCCATCATCTCCCCGGCAATCGTAGGGAGCCAGATTGTGGATAAATCCAGTATTTCTAGGGACCTTGGTGCTTTCCGAGCTTGGTGGCTTTCTTGCAGACGTTTCGTGGCCCAACTAGGTAACATCATCAATGCTAGAAGGGAGTGGGGCTCGCTCTCTAAGCAAGCTTGTAGTGCTGATGATGTTCCCTAGTTGGGTCATGAAACGTCTGCAAGAAAACAACCCAACTCAGAGAAGCACTAAGGACCCCACAGTCATTATCGTCCCCTTCCCTCTCCTCCTCTTCCTCCTCCCCCCTCCTCCCCTTCTCCTCCTCCCGTCTGTAAACCCCACTCCCTTTTAGCACTGATGATGTTCCCTAGTTGGGTCATGAAACGTCTGCAAGAAAACAACCAAGCTCAGAGGGCACCAGGGATCCCTCAGTCTTTCTCCTCCTCTTTCTCCTCTTTCTTCTCCTCCTCCTCCTCTTCTCCTCCTCCTTCTTCTCCTTCATTCCACAAATTCCACTCCCTTCTAGCACTGATGATGTTCCCTAGTTGGGTCATGAAACATCTGCAAGAAAACAAGCTCAGAGGGCACCAGGGATCCCTCAGTCTTTCTCCTCCTCTTTCTTTTCCTCTTTCTCCTCCTCCTCCTCCTCCTCCTCCTTTTCCCCTCCTCCTTCTTCTCCTTCATTCCACAAATTCCACTCCCTTCTTGCACTGATGATGTTCCCTAGTTGGGTCATGAAACGTCTGCAAGAAAACCACCAAGCTCAGAGAGCATCAAAGACCACAAAGTCCTCCTCCTCCTCTTCCTCCTCCCTCCCTTCTCCTTCTCCCCTCTGTAAACCCCACTTCCTTCTAGCACTGATGATGTTATCTAGTTGGGTCATGAAATGTTTGTAAGGAAGCCACCAAGCTCAGAGAATTACTCCAGAGTTCAGCCCTGAGAGCTACAAATACTCTCTCCTATTGGAATCCACTCTGTGTCTCCCTCCAGATCGAGATGGCCATTCTCCGTTTCCCCTACGACTCCTGGGGGACCCCCTTCCAGCAGCTTAAGCAGGTGGTGGAAGAGCCGTCCCCCCAGCTCCCAGCCGATCGCTTCTCCAAAGACTTTGTCGACTTCACCGCCCAGTGGTAAGTAAGTCCCTCTGCGTTGTCTCACCGTCTCCTGGTGAGTGGCCCAAAGTCACTCCGCCGCTTGCATAGCTAACGTGGGACTAGAACTCACCTTCTCCTGGGGATTGGCTCAAAAGTCATCCAGAGAGCTTTCGGGCCTTAAAGCAGGACTAGAACTCACCGTCTCCTGGTGTTTGGGCCAAAAGTCACCCAGGTGGCTTTCACGCAGTGAGTATTTCTGTTGTTCCAATGACAAATCTTTTAAGATTGGATTAGTGATGTTCTGGGTGTCCTTTTTTTTCCCTAGTCTGACGAAGAATCCCGCTGAACGAATGAGCTACTTAGAGATGATGGTGAGTTGACTTTCTTTCTGATGGCCCAGTTTTAATCTGCTTTATTTAGAGTCCAGCAGGTGAGTGCACAGCAACCTGCGTGCCTCCTTCTCCTCCTCCTTCTCCTTCCTCTCCTCCTTCTTCTTCACTTCCTCCTTCCTCTCCTTCTTCTCCTTCTCCTTCCTCTTCTTCTTCTCTTTCTCCTCTTTCCTCTCCTCCTCCTCCTCTTCCTCCTTCTCCTTCACCACCACCTCCTCCTCCTTCCTCTCCTCCTTCCTCTCCTTTTTTTCCTTCTCCTTCCTCTCCTTCTCCTTCTTCTCCTCTTCCTCCTCCTTCTCCACCACCATCACCTTCTCCTCCTCCTCCT